AAGCACTTAAATATCCATTGGAATGACCTAAGCAACAGAGCTCTCTTTTTTCTCCTGAACCAGATTGCAGAGCTGTAATGTTCATTGCGAATCCTTCTCGTTGCTGCCCTCCAGTCATACTTCTCCATCTCCTCCCGTGCAGCTTTTCCCATTGTTTCTTGCAATTCAGGGCTTCACGGAAGAGGCTCCAGTTTATTCAAACAGTCATCAAGATCCCCGGGATTGTACCCGATCTTTGCCTTGCTGGTCTTCTGGAATAATTTCTGGGATTCCCCCTGCACGAGCAGCCACCACGGGGAATCCAGACGACATGGCCTCTAAAACAAGTCCAATCGTCTCGAACTCTGAAGGCATGACAAAAACATCTCCACTGGCGTATGCCTGAGAAAGATCTTCCCCGAGTAGCATAACAGTAAACATTGCAGGCATGCCAGATAACATCTTCTCCAGCTCCTCTCTACAACGATTAAATGGAAAAAGTAATCACTTTGCAAATCAACAAATACTCGAAATCCTAACAATCGTCGTCTAACGTCTATTGTAACATTACTTTAAAAAGCGAAAAATAATGGCAGTCAAAATTTTTTGTTGTTTATCAGCTGAACTGTTGTGTCTAATGGACTCAACTACCTGTTCTACTTGGCAATGTTGTGATAGATATTTAGATACCCATCCTAGAATCCTAGGTTGTCTAGAATAACCACAATTTGGCCTTTTGGTGCAAGAAATTACTGTCCTAAGAAACTTCGTATAGTAATTATCAGAGTTTCTGCAATTCTGAGAAATCCAGCAAGGCTTTCAGATGTCAATGCAACTCACCTGTATGGTCCATCCCCAATAAAAGCAATCTAAGCGTCTGGAAGCCTATCCATAATCCTGTTTTTAGGAATCAAAAATGTCAATGCTGCAGTTGAGCTACAGCCTGAAATGAAGATTAAACTCCAAATATAAAAAACAGGCATTATAGTATTACGTTTGTGCTCCTCGGTGACCAATACCTCTTATTAGCTAAGAAAATACGAAGCCAACTAAACTCAAAGTTTGTAATTTCACCAGGCGTTTAAGGTTATAATTAAAACCAATGAATTGGTATATTATCCTCGGAAGAAACAGAATAATCTACTAATAGGAAGATGGCAATGACGGCACAAGCAATTGTTAACACTCAGCTAAAATAGCATAGTACCTTTTAAGGAAATCCAAATTCTTCTCAACCCCAAGTCGTCCAACATGGATTATCAATGGCTTGTCAGGTTCCCCATTGCTAATTAAGAGAAACAAAACAAAAATGAAAAAATAAATGGTTCAACTGTCATACTAAAAGCAACTAATGGCCTAATGCATGAAGAAAATTCGATAGTATACAGAAAACAGCAATACCTAAGTCTCAATCTCATTTCATGTGAGCAATGTGGGGGATGGAAGCTCTCGGAATCAACCCCTTTTTCCCATAAATGGATTCTGTTAGCTGCAAAGGAAGATAGAAATTTCAACAAAAAAGCATAGTAATAAGATCATGATAGTTAATACAATTTCTGAAGCAAAAATGAAATATATAGGTGGTCACACATCTTGTTGCCGTGAAGTTTGACCAATCAGTTCCATTTAAGTTCTTAGCTCTCACCTTCTGTTACCTTGTGAGCTTCCAGATCTTTTGCAATAGCGACAGATGGCACAAGTGTAAGATCAGCTGCCCTGTGAAGAAATTCTTGCAGAGAATAAACATTCAATTATTATCAAAGAAATGATGGTGTCAAATCCAAAGTGAAGATTTCAGGATATTAGATGTTCACATACTTATAATTAACCACATAGGTTGGACCAGCCAACTAAAGGTGTATCTTGGAATGTATCTGCAGAGAAAGGACTAATCAATGTCACGTATGGAAGCTACTAAATTCTTCCGTGTGAAAATATAATTAGAATGAAGGAAAGGTTAACATACACTGGAACGTGTGTGTGATAAGACATGACAATGAGGATGCACGAGAGTTTCGCAATGATTAAAGCAAGGAATATGCGGACTCATAGCAGCAAACATAAGCATATAACTCTCACCTTTGGCATTAGAAAGGAAAATCATGAGAGAACTGGTTTTTTGTAATCTGTATAATAAAATAATGTTGTAATTAAGCAGCCAAAAAAGACCAACCATCAATATAAACTATGCCCATGTCATGTCTAAAATCTATCAACTGCTGCCTTAATTGACATACAATATAATCCCTAATAAAAAAGTTTAGAACTATATATAGCCACATAATTATCAGATTTGAGTTGTTTATCATCAGATTCTGCATATGCAATCATCACCCATGTCCACTAAAATTACAATAAATAAAATAAGCAGACTGTACAGAAAAGATAGAGAACAAAGGAGTGAATGTGGGAGAGAGTTCTTACACTGAGTTCAACGCGATGATCTGTTTCACTTGCTTGCTTTAGCTTGGCAGATTTATCTTTCACGAACTTGAGCCCTAACAAAATTGGGGATTGAATTACAATGCAAATCATCCAAAAGAAATCCACAATGTTAAAATAAGCCATATCAAACCAGAAGATTTGCTTGGATAAATTTTCGCCTAGACATCCAGGAGCATGGGGCAGGACAGATTTTTCTGGAGGGTGTGTTCAGAGGACACCCCTAAAATGTCAAAATACATCCTCAGATGGATTCATGAAGTACTCTGGTATTAAATTGCCAGATACTCAGTTTTCGTGGTTCAATAGCAGTATGAACCTTTATTTGTTCAATTCTACTCATTCTATTCTATTCTATCATATTCTACTCTAGTTAAAATTCTGAACTAACTTCAACAAGAAATCACTGAATTTTTATAGGTAAAAAAGATCACCTCAATACATAGATCCCTTCACAGATTCAGACCTTCAGTACCAAACTTAAGATCATAGTACCTGCAGAATTAGTATTCTCACCAGAAAAAGTCAAGTATATTAATTATTACAGGAAATATAGGGAAGTCAAATAAACATTTTTAACAACTTCCTCTAGCAATGGAGATTCCTTAATCTTGTTCCAACTCAAGATATACAAAATTGAATCTTGTTTCACTGAAAAACTCATTCCAAGTTAACATATATTCTACTCTAGTTAAAATACTGAACTAACTTCAAGAAGAAATCATTGAATTTTTATAGGTAAAAAAGATGACCTCAATACGTAGATCCCTTCACAGCTTCAGACCTTCAATACCAAACTTAACGTCATAGTACCTGCAGAATTAGTATTCCCACCAGAAAAAATCAAGTATATTAGGGGTCGTTTACTTCATTTCTCTGTTTTTCCATTTTCAGTTTTCCATTCTTCCATTTCTCCAGTTTTCCTTCTCCATTTTTCCAGTTTTTCATTTCTCCATTCCTCCAATTTTTTATTTTTCTAATTTTCTATTCTATTAAAAACAATCATCCCATATAGTATTTGTATATTTCTACAACAAAGATAATAATAATGATAATAATAATGATAATAATAATAATAATAATTTAATAATAATAATAATAATAGTAATAATGATAATAATAATTTAATAATAATAAGAATAGTAATAATTTAATAATAACAACAACAAATTTGTGTATATTTTTTTTTGGTGAAAAGAAGAGGGATTACTCCCAAGATGAACTAATGCGTGCCTTTGTGTATATAAGTAGGAGGAAAATGAAAAAGAAAAGAGATAATAATAATAATAATAAAATAAATAAAAAGGGCACGCACAGGGAAGAAACAAAAGCGGAAGAGAAAGAAGATAGAAACAAAAGAGGAAGAGAAAGAAGATAGAAACAAAAGCGGAAGAGAAAGAAGATAGCTTTGGGTTTAAAACATGCTGTGCGAAGGATTCGAAAGTGAGACCTAAAGCTTGAGCACTGTTCACGCGTTCCATCTCTCCATTTGGAGAATGTGTATTTTCCTTTCTCCAAAATTGTATAGAAAGTGGAAGAATGGAGATGAGATTAAAATTGGAGATATGAATTTAGTAAACAAGTTTTCCATTTTCCATTCTTCTACTTCTCCAATTCTCCATTTTTCTAGAAAATTCTCCATTTTTCCATTTTGGTAAACGACCCCTTAATGATTACAGGAAATATAGGGAAGTCCAATAAACATTTTTAACTACTTCCTCTAGCAATGGAGATTCCTTAAGCTTGTTCCAACTCAAGATATACAAAATTGAATCTAAATGGAAAACTCAAGACTGAGTTTAGACCATTAGGAAGGGTAAGTAAACCCAATTGATTAAACCGACTAAAAGACGAGGTTTGGATTGTTGCCTCCGAAGATGGTGAAGAGCAGAAATTGAGACACAAATATCCAACAAGAAATTCAAACACATACCTCGAATTTGGAAGTGACCGGAGGCGCAAGGGAGGCGGAGCCCTCGTTGGCGGCTGTGGCAGAGCAGGAGGAGTCTTCCGTCGTCGTCATTGGCTCTCGAGGAATCGTAGGGGAGGCGGAAACAGAGTAGGAACACAGCAAAAACTTTTAAAACTGCCGTATCCTTGGAACAGACCGGAGGCGGAAATTTTTATTTATTCTACGAAGTTACTAAACGGAGAACTAACGGAGAAATCTAAGATTATTAACAAATTCAATAACAGTGTGTGGGTATTTAGGGAAAACTCTTTAAAAAATTAAAATTGGAGTAATCTGAGCTATTCATTTAATCTAATTATTTGAAAAAATTTAAATTAGAGTAATCTGAGCCATTCATTTGATACCGCCATTTTTTCTACCCATTATAGGACTAACCCTCTTGGGCTCTTATTAGTATAGTAGAAATGTAGAATTAGGGAATGCACCCCCACCCCCCCCAAAAAAAAAAAAAAAAAAAAAAAGGAGCGAATTGAAACTCATTTTTGAAAACTAAACAGGTAAATATTCAATTTAGTAAATTGTGTTTGTATGAAGGAAGCATCACAACAATTCCACACACAGCCAAGAATAAACCCTCATTCTTGATCAGCTTGGTTGAATCTCTATATTGAAGTAAAATGAACCTTAAATATAGAAACCATTGAAAATATTAAGCTCTGCTGTTAACAAGGGAGGTGGATATTTCCAGAGACATTAAATCAAGCACTGAATGAATCTCAACTAAATGTGGATGCGAAACATCTCCTGAAACAAATTCATTAACTTCCCCATCAACCTCAATTGCACTGATTCCTGGTGTTTTCTTGAGACCTTTATCACCTATCATTGCTCTGATCCTACGTGCATCACTGGACTGATGTGTGGCGAGATATATGTTGGATAACTGAACATAAGCACAACCTTTTTCAGCTTCATTCCCGTCCTCTAACAACAAAAGCTCCTTCACAGCAAGTTCGGCAAGGGTAACATTATTTTGAACCCGACAACCACTCAACAGTGCCCCCCACACAGAGGCAAGCGGTTTCATAGGCATCGTCCTAATAAATTTAATGGCCTCATCTAGTTTACCTGCCTTGCAAAGTAAGTCCACCACACAGCTGAAGTGTTCATGTTGAGGAAGAACGCAGTATAGGGGTTCCATCCTATCCAACAAAAGTTGGCCTTCTTTTTGAAGCCCCGAATGTGTACAAGCTACCAAGACTCCGAGAAGGACAATGCTATCGGGCTTAAGTCCATCTTCCACTTGCATTCTGTCTAGACAATCAATTGCTTTCTTGGCAAAGCCGTGTATCCCAAACCCGCGAATCATTGCTGCCCATGAATGCTTAGTCCTTTTAGGCATGGCCTCAAACACTTCCACAGCTGTGTGAATACACCCACACTTAGCATACATATCAACAAGGGAAGTCCCAACAAATGCGTCAGACTCTAGCCAGTTTTTCTTCTTGATGTACTCATGGATCCATTTCCCTTGATCAAGAGCCCCTAAATTAGCACAAGCTGCAAGTCCTGAAGTCACACAAAACTCATCGGGCTCAACTCCATGCACGAACATGCCTTGTAATACACTCAACGCCTTAGAGGCCAAACCATTTCTAATGTATCCACTAATAAGAACATTAGCTTGAAAAACATCTATGCTAGCAATTTCGTCAAACACTTGCTGAGCATCATCTAAAACCTTACATCCTGCATAAAACCTTATCAACGCGGTCTGCACGTGAGGATCAGAGAAAGACAGAGAATTTTTTACTACCAAACAGTGTATTTGCTTACCCTCAGGCACTAGAAAGCCATTCGAACAAGCAATGAGGACAAACGGAAAGGTATAGTTATCAGGCGAGAGAGGCTCATTATTGCGTACCAATAGGTTGAAGTAGTGCAAGGACAAACGGGGTTGCAAGCTATCAGAGTAGGCCCTGATGAGTGTGTTGTAGATAAACAAATTGGGCATTTGGGTTTGGGTGAAGAGCTGAGAGGCGTAGGAAAGGTCACGAAAATTAGAGAGGGCACAAAACTCCAGGAGTTTGCTAACGGCATAGGTGTTGCGGTGGAGACCACATGTGATGAAAATGGCATGAACAACTTTGAATTGGTGCATGTTTGCGCACCGTTGTGCAAGTGACATGCACCAGTTCCATACCCTGAAGCTCTGGTTTGTCACCTGGTGGCGGAGTTTGATCAAGCGAGTCATATGCATGCTTATCTAGTGTCCACATCTATATATACACATAAAAACAAAATAGTTTGTCAAAAATAGAAAGTGCGGGCTATTTTCCTGACCAAAAATAAAACAATCATAAGTAGATTCATGCAATGCTTCAGCTTTCATCAAGATGAAGTAACACATACCCTTCCTTCAATGGATTCTTGAGTTCCAATGTTGACAAAAGCAAATTAAGTTGCCTGTGCAGAATTGATGCTTAGAGTAAGGTTCTCGTTCCTTTCCTCGGGCTTGAGTTTTTTCTTCATATTTACTGGTTCTTCATCAATTGTTCCAAGTATAGCAAGCGTTTTAAATTCGCTGCATCAAATAAAGGGAAAAAAGTAGTGATATTAAATTACAAATTTAGATTAAACAAAGGGAGTGACAAAAAATTAAGAATAAACTGATGATCACAAAATAAGAACTCCATCATTGGCAACCTCAAATAGATTATTACATACTTTATTAGTTCAACTTGAGTAAAAAAAAAGAATTTCTTATTTTCAATATATATTATAATCTTTGAGTTTTGATTGTACATTTATACTTTGCATTAAACAACCATGATATCTTTTGTTTAAGAATTTTTTTATTTAAAAAAAAAAAAAAAAAAAACATTCTAGCACTAATACTTAATTGATTGCAGCAAGCCAATACTTGAATGTTCATTGCAAAATCTCTCTCTCTCTCTCTCTCTCTCTCTCTCTCTCTCTCTCTCTATATATATATATATATATATATATATATATATAGAGAGAGAGAGAGAGAGTGCAAACTAATTGCTTATGTTGATATCTATTCAATATTATGGGCAACAGATATAAACGCTTCTTGAGCTGCCAATAAATAATTACAAGAACAGCTAAATTTTGCCTTCAACTCCCATGGTTCGGTTATTGGAAGAGGCATCTGTTTAAACAATTTGTTCGGCAGAGCAGAAAATTAAAAATGTTGGGTTGCCAAGCTATACTTTCCACAACTTCAATTAGAAATTTCAGAAACAGTCCATGTTCTAGAAACCTGCTAAAGCACTATAAATTACATGAGAAGATTTATGAGTGCTAACTTTGACTTCAATGGCTTCCTCAAGCAAACCCATCACCACATGTGGGTTCTATGGCTCATAGTATAGGATTGGTTCCTGACTGCCGAAGGTAGGATATCTAGCTCTAAATACACATTGGTTTCACTTTCTTTTACTACAAAACTGGCCTTCCTTTACTTTGTCTATAATTCTAAATGTGTTGGATTGGTTCCTAGCATGTCAAAGGTAGTCTATTACTCCACTTGAAAGTAAACTTAGTTCTTACCAAAACAAACAGGTTACTTTTGCACAAATTTGACAAGCAGAAAAGAGCATTAAGATGATGGAATCAATAATAGAAGCTCTCTCAACCTAAAGCTTCTGTTTATGTTCTAGGCAAATGCTATAATTTAATCATAAATCTGTATCTGACAATATGATTTATCTAAATTACATTTTGACGAAGTGGAGATGGAGAAAGCAGAGTTTTGTATAACTTTATTGCATTTCTATGGATGCACTCATCGATTAACTTTATTTAAATAGGAGTTGCTATATGAAATTATTGGAGAGAATGAGTAACAAACATGAAGAAGCTGGATAGATTAATTCGTTCGTAGTTGGCCCCCTATCTCATGAGAGCCACCTCAATACTCAACTTACTCAACTTCCTCCTCGCACAACTCAGTTGTTGTACCTTTCTACATAATCCGCTCAATTCATCCATTCATCCAAACTTAAAATAAAGCTGATCTATAGAGTTAAATTCCACTAAATATAGCACAAAAAGCTAGGAGCTTGCAAGTCTAAACAATTTGCAGTAGAAATCAACATTCAACAACATAATCAACACAACAGTTACACAAACTTCACAAAAATCTTTACTGCAAATTTTTACACAACAATTACTGCAAACTTCACAAAAAATAAAAAAATAAAAAAATAAAAAAAATAAAAAAAAAAGGTTTTACAGCAAGTCAGCAAGAAAGTGAAGAAACAAAAAATACCTGCGTGCTGACGGCTGCGTTGGACGGTTGGAGTGCGGGCTTGCGGCGGCCGGCGAGACGGCTGGAGTGGCGCCGGACCAGGGACGGAGCCAGGATTTCCAGTGAGGGGGCGAAGAAGCAAACGTAAAATAAGTTCAAAAATGTTCAAATAGAAGGTCCAAATACAAAATATCAAATAAAAATAAGATTCTTAAAATACAAAATACATTATAAATTACAAAACAAAGTTTATGATAAACTACGGGATAATACTCTTATTAGCAAAACAAAGTTCACTGCATCATTCTGCCATTCACTGTCCTTAGAAAATTTAGGAACACCAGAGTGGGGAAACAAAATTAGAAAAATTAGCAAACACCAATATAATCTATTCACTGCCATTCAACAATTGAAAATTAGCAAGTATTCAAGTATAAATGTATTCAAGATTTCAAGTAACACCAATTGAAAATTAGGCCGTTCGGCCATTCACTGTCTTTAGAAAAATTAAGAACACCAAACCTACCCAACTCACATTCATAAATCATAAATTCATAATTGATTAATTGATAATTCATAAACTAATAAACAAATTCTGAAATTCATGTATTCAAGTATTCAACAAAACACATACATTAAATTAATTAAAATAAAATTTGAGTAATTAGGAAAATTAGAGAAATTAGGGCAAAAATAAGAACCTGAGTAGTGAGCACTGGGAGGACTGAGGAGACGAATTTCCGGTCACGAGGGGCGCTGAGAGGCGGTTGGCGTGTTGCCGGAAGCCGGTAGGCCGGGACGGAGATGCGCCGGAAGCCGGTAGGCCGGGACGGAGATGCGCCGGAAGCTGGTAGCGGCGCTGCGGCAGAGTCAGAGACGAAGACAGAAGCGACCCACGATCTATCTGCTACTTTAAAACTGAATAGGTAAAATAAGAAAAAAACAATAAAAAAATATTTATATATAATACAGCCCCAAAACGTCGACGTTTTGTGGCTGTATCATTTTTCGCAGGGGAGCAGCTGTGCGAGACTAGGGATGTCAATTGTACCCGCACCCGACAGGGAACCCGATTCCCTGCCCCTATGGGGACGGGGATGGGGATAGAAATAGGGGATCGGGGATGGGGATGGGGTAATTTTGAATTCCCCGCCGGGGACGGGGACGGGGATGGGAAGTACTCTCCCTGCCCCGCCCTGTCCCCGATGTATGTATGTATGTATGGGGAGTACACACATATGTATTACTTTGTATACAATATATATAATTTTAGAAGCATTGTTGTCATTGTTTGTCATGCTTATGAAATGCATATTTAAATAATAACACGTTTAATTGTAAAATATTGAATACTATTTTAAATTGGGGATGAATATATATACGTTATTTATTTAAATGTTTATGAATGATTAATTTTTAATTTTTTTTTTATAACTTATTAATGGGGTGGGGATTCCCCGTCCCCGAATAATCCCCGTGGGGATGGGGATGGGGGGAGTTTTCCATTCTCCGGCGGGGACAGGGACGGGGACGGGGAAGGGGAAAAAAGTCGGGGGCGGGGATGGGGGGTATGTCCCCCGCCCCCACCCCGCCCCGTTGACATCCCTATGCGAGACCGTCTGCCCGTCTGGACTATGGCGTCTATAAGGATTGTTTTTGAACTTTAGGGTTATTTAATTATATTTTACTCCGTATTACGGAGTATTAGTTTATTAATTACTCCGTAGTTTCTATAGACTGTATACATCATGATACATATTTCCAGTAATTTCTTTTCCACCAATCAATGAAATCTATTTTCTTGAAATTTATTTTCCATGGAATTTCAATTCTATTTTCCTTCAAATATTTTCCAGCTAACCAAACGAGCTGTAATACTTTCTTTTCTTTTTTTTTTCACGATGAACCATTCCTGATTATTCGTGATATTTAGAGTCGTCTAGAAGTTTTTACAGGTTACCAGTAATAATATTGATGACATGGAATTTTTTATTAGTTTTTTTTTTGGTATTTTTCTTCTTTCGCCTTCGTATTATATTTTTTTTCGTATTTTCATTTTTTTCCTAAACGTATAGACTTTGTTTTCTAAACATATAGGCATGCTCTGCGTTTTTCGCTTCTCGTTTCTCCGATACCAAACTCCGCAGAGCAGGCATATACAGAGTAGGCCTAATCGGAGAAACGAGAAGTGAAAAACGCAGAGTAGGCCTATATGTTTAGAAAAAAGAAAAATACAGAACAAAAATACGAAGGCGAAAGAAGAAAAATACCAAAAAAAACTAATAAAAATTCGATGTCAGCAATATTATTACTAGTAACCTGTAGGAAACTTGTAAAAAGTTCTAGACGAAAAAAAAATATTATGGTTTATGATTCTAAATATCACTTGTTAAAGATCATGGTGAAGAATGAATAATCAGAAATGATTTCTGGTGCGGCATGACACTTCATTGTTTTTTTTTTAAATGTAAATAAGGCCTAGCCCGCAGGTTGCGAGTCGCAGCGAGCCAGGTCCGTTACCCCTGTATTTTCTTCAAATGGCCCCTAACTTTTTCATTGTGGGCGAGTGCAACTAACACGCAGATTTCGTCCCACTTTGACAGCCCTAGGTACGGTTGTTATATCGTGGATCATGGTCCGAAAACGGCGTCGTTTCTTTAAGTAAAGAAATCGTTGTCATTAAATTTTAACAAATTTCGTAATTTTTGCGTGTTTATAACAAAATGAAATTGTAGTGTATATAAAATGAAACTGAATAATTTGTCTCGTATATATTATCAAATTAAACTGTAATTAAATTAAAATTATACTTTAGTTGTGTTGAAATGAAACTGAATAACATGTCTCATATATTTAATGTATATTGTCAAATAGAACTGTAGTTCAATTAAAATGATACTTTAATTTTAAAACATGGTCCATAGTAAAATTTGCCCCAGAGTTGCACGTTTCGACATGGTGCCCTATTTTGCGAGTTCTACTACATAAATTTCTAAAATTCTACTCTCTCATTTATACTTCCTGAGGTGACCTTATTTTGCAACATTTAGCAAGCGTTAGATTGCAAACACTAAAATCTTAGTTCTCCGTTAGATTGCAAACACTAAAATCTTAGTTCTCTCTATCATTAAATTCATTTTCCATTAAAAAAGATATTGTAATTTGGCATCCCAATTAGCGAAAGGTCCTTATGATAATTGTAACGAATAATTTCACTTTTGGTCCCACGATTTTTGATGTTCTATCACTTTTGGTGCACAACTTTAAAATTTTTTAATTTTGGTGCCTAACTTTGTTATTTTTATCAATTTTGGTCCTTTCGGCCAAATTGACTGTGAAATGTTGTTGGATTTTATATTGTTAGGGGTAAAATCTTCATCCCAAGGAAACATCTTCAATATCTAAACAAGATCACCGTAAAATCATATCTATAGGTGTTTGATGATGAGAATAATGGGGAAGATGGGCAGAAACCAGACAGATATATGGGATTTATAGTTTCGACCATTGGCAAACTCTTCTTTTCCTCTTAATATGATTTTTCTTTTGTTTAAATATTGAAGATCTTTCCATGGGATGACGATTTTGCCCCTAAAATATAAAATTTGGAAATATTTTACCGTCAATTTGGCTAGAATGACCTAAACTGATAAAAATAACAAAGTTAGACACCAAAATTGAAAAAATTCAAAGTTGTGCACCAAAAGTGATAAGAACTCAAAAGTCGTGGGACCAAAAGTGAAATTAATTCTAATTGTAAATTACAATCATTATTGTATAGAGCATGGTCCATACAAGCTTTGTGGATCATATTTTGTATATTATAAAATAATATATATTTAATTAAAAAATAATATACTTTTTTGTTTGTTGAAATACTCAACATTCTTTACAAGATAGTGCCAATCCTCATCACCAAGGTTTGAACCTATAACCATCCAATTGAAATGGTAATCGAGATACCATCACACTACTAAGTAGTTAGCAAAATAATAATATACTTTTACTTAAAAATGTACTTTGTATTAAGAGAAAGTACATTATTTGTGTAATAAATGTACATTGTTTTATATAATGTACACAAATAGTGTACTTTTAGTATATTTTAAAAATTTACTTTCTTTTATGATCCATATAACATTATAAACCGTAGGTAGTTTGTACGCGAGAAAAATAGTATATGCGGTATAGAAAAATAGAGAGAAAAGAATAGTACAGAACCTCAAAAAACTCACTTTTATTAATCCATCAACGATAAATAAAGAGTTAATTACTAAAAGAGTAAATACCCAAAATGGTCCCTCGACTATAGTTAAATTCACAAATTGGTCATCGACTTTTAATTTCAACCAATTAAGTCCTTAACTTTGCAATTTTAACACAATTTGATCCTCTGTCTATTTGCCCGTTTGTTGACCGTGATTTTTGAGGATATATATGTAATTTCATGGTCCATCGTCGGGTTTTTTAAGGTTCCGGTTGCATTTCCAGAACACACTGTTACATTTGATTCCACTGCCGAAAGCAATCTACCAAATCCGGCCGCCTTTCTTCATCCTCCATTTGGATTCAATGTAGTTGAGTTTGTACCAGAGCGAAGAAGACGACGTGTTTCCGAACCGGTGCAACGTCATCCTGGAGGCCTCCACGTGCTCCAACGAGAGCTGAAGGTTCTTCTAGAGATCGTCGATCACAGTCAACAAATGGTCAAATAGATGGAGAACCAAATCGTGTCAAAATTGCAAAGTTAAGGACTTAATTGGTTGAAATTGAAAGTTGAGGACCAATTTGTGAATTTAGCTATAGTCGAGGGACCATTTTGGGTATTTACTTTTACTAAAATAGTCCATTGACTATAGCGAAATTACCAATTTGATCCTTAACTATTTTTTGTAACCAATTAAGTCCCTCAATTTTAAAATTTGTAACCAATTTGATCCTCCGTTAGTTTGACCGTTAACTTGAGACCAAATTGGTAATTTCGCTATTGACAAGAAACCATTTTGGTAATTAACTTTAGGCGTGGGCAATTCGATTTAGTTTTCTCAAATCGAACCGTACCGAACCGAACTAGTTTGGTTCTGTAATATACCGAACAACCGAACGGTATTGGATTCTTGTATACCGAACGGTTCGATAAAAAACTGATCCAAATTGTTCGGTAAAAAATTGAACTAAACCGAATACTGTTTGATTTTTTAAATATAATAATAATAATAATAAATAAATAAATAAATAAATAAATAAATAAAAAGTAAATCCAAGTCCCTTGCGACTTGCTCTGCCGTTCAGCTCATATTCTCACGAGTATCTTTCGTAAATGTTTTATTTGATTTCTTTATAGTTTGGTATCAAAAGTTCTATATTATGTGTTATGGTTAGAGATGACCACGGTTCAAACCGGAACCGTGACTGTGCAAATCGGAACCGTTCGTACGGTTCCGGTTCCGGTTAAGGTTTGTAAAATCTTAAAACCGGAACCGGCGGTTCCGGTTGCAAATCGAAAAAAATTAAATATTATAGTGTTTTTTTTTTTAAATAATTTCGGTTAGAACCGGAACCTTACTATAAGGTTCCCGTTCCGGTTTTGCCATCCATGGAATTGGAACCGGAACCGGAACCGTGGTCACCCCTAGTTATGGTGTTTACATATTTCATATCCAAAGTATAATATATAACAAAATAGCAATCTAAAGTTCAAACGATATTCGGTTCGGTTCGATTTTTATTGAACAATTCAGTTCGGTTCGAGTTTTTACCAAACCTTTCAGTTGTTCGGTATATTACTGAATCTAACCAGTTTGGTACGGTTCGGTTCGAGAAATTTGTACTTAATTGCGGACCCTTAAAGTTAATTACTGAAATGGTCCCTTGACTATAGCGAATTACCAATTTGGTCCCAAGTTAACGGTTGACTAACTGTCAAACTAACGGAGAACCAAATTGGTTAAAATTTTAAAGGTGAGAGACTTAATTGGTTAAAAAAAATAATTAAGGACTAAATTGGTAATTTCGCTATAGTCAAGGGATCATTTTAGTAATTAACTCATAAATAAATAAATAAATAAATAAATAAATATATATATATATATATATATATATATATATATATATATAATAATTATTATTATTATTATTATAATAATAATAAATTTATATATTACTTCTTCTGTTCCATTTTATCTGTTCTATTTACTATTAATTTGTCAAATCAACTATTTCTTCTTGGTTTATTTTCTTTAGTAATTTTTATTCTTTTTAAATTTAATTTTTTGTGTGTAATATTATTTTTAGCGTAATTTCTAAATATATAAATTTTGTATATTGATACTAAACTTAATATTATGAAAATTTAAATTAAAAATTTCAGTCCCGTTAATCAAACCAGATAATAAAATGGGACAGAGGGAATAGCACCTACTACCCATCATATTTTTATAATTTTATATTAAAATAAATTCCTAAGTATACACGTAAACCCTAGCCCCAAGCCCCCAATTCCCAAAATTCATTTCTACGCACCGAGTCACCGACGCAAGTCGCAGCAGTCTGACGCAGGGACGCGGGACGGCGAGGCGACGGCGGTCTGAATCTCCGGCAGTGCGGCGACGGAGACAACAGCAACAGGTATTATTCACTCTGACTCCCTAGTTATTGTACGGTTAGTGGTATATATATGTAAACTGTCGTGAGTGTGAATGTGAGTGGAGGCTGCGGCTGCGGGGTGCTGCGGTGGGCCAGTGGCTGCAGGGTGCGTAGTGCGGTGGTGGCTACGGCCTGGCATCAGGCGGCTGCTGCTGCCTGCGCCTTGCGGCTGTGTCCGGACTCCGCAGGGTGCGTGGTGCGGCGGTGGCTGCGGCCTGACATCAGCTGGTTGCTGCTGCCTGCTTTGACCTGCTGTGCGTGCTGTACTGCTGTGCCTGTGCGTGCTGTACTGCTGTGCCTGTGCGTGCTGCCGGACGATTATTTCTTCTACTAATCTACTTTTAAATGTTGTTACACCCAAAAAAAAAAAATTCTACTGTTAAATGTTAATATGTTATTGAATATTGATTAAATGTTAATTACTTAATTTGTTATAACTTTAATATATTAATATATAATATATAATATTTTAATAGTAGTTGGTAGATGTTATTTGTTTATGTTTTGCTATTGAAAGTATTGATTGTTAAATATCTATGAGATTATATAGGATGACAACCAACAATACAATTAAATCTATTTCTGAACAAGTTAACAAGAATGTTACAACTTCAACTCCATCAATTTCTTTAAGTCAACCAATTGAAAGCAACTCTATTAGTGAAGAAGTCATTGGGACTTGTGGTTTTGTGTTGTGTTTTAAACTTGTGTTGGATTTTTGTATTATGGACATGTGGTTTTGTGGTTATTAAACTTGGTGTTGTTGGATTTTGTATTATGAACTTGATTTTGTAGTTATTGATTGATTGTCATGTGATATATAATCATAGATTTGTGGTGATATACTTATGTATTAGCTTTGTTAGTGACTTAGTGTATATTTGTGTTAGGTAAATTTTTAAAATATTTTTACATGTACGTACGTATTAAAAAGGCTTAGAGCATATAACATGTTATGTAGGCCTTAAATAGGCTCAAAACCTCCAGCCTTTTTAAGGACTACATATTAAATAGTCTTTTAAAAAGACTTCAGGCCAAGCCAAGCCAATTGTAGGCTCAGACTTGAACCTAACAAAAAGCCTACATACAGGCCCAGGCCCAGGCTCAGACCTAAGATTTCTATAGCAGGCCCAGGCCTATTTTCATCCCTACTTGGCATTTTTTACTTCAAAGCTTGTTGTATACAACTATACACTCAGTTGCATAATGCCAACAACAGTAAAATTTGAAATGGATAAGTGTAATGGAGGCTCCAGATTCAATTTATGACAAGTCCAAATCATGACCTTTCTTACTTAGAGTGGCGTGATGAATGCTCTCTTTGAGAAGTCCTAAAAACCAGCTTGGTGGTGTATGAACAATGGGCTGGTGTTACTGTGTATATTGACATATTTTCCCTGTAATCAGTATATTGTCTCTAATCTATGTATTAGTGCTAATTTTAGAGACTGACAGACTACTATTTTTTTTTTCTCTATTAATTAAAGACTGTGATTGCTAATCTTATTGGTGTTTGATATTTTGTCACGGACATTTTTAAAACGATTTTAACTTCACGTCTTTGCCCCCACTCATATAAAATCCTTGATCCGCCAGGAGAGAGAGCAAAGAGAAGGCAGCAAAAAAAAATGTTGAAATTTCTATTGAAGGTGAAAATTGAGTTCAACGCGATCGACCCGCGCATCGCGTCATGTATGGAGTTCTTAGCCCAATGCAACGCCCCAAAGGCGAAGGAGTCCAACCCGGCTTGTCAAATCCAGGTGAAGCGCCGCACCGACGACCACCCGCCGCAGATCACTGTCACCTTCGTCAACGGCATCGAGCAAACATATGATGCCACTTCCACCCCCGCCCAAAACATTCGCACCATGATTCTCGAGAAGGGGCAGTATCTCGAGACCGAGCAGATGTTCCGTGAAGCTGGCGAGAAGTGGCCTGTTGTTATTCCTGTAGAAGAGCTCAACCAACCATTCCTTGGAATTAAGGTTATTTTCTCTTTGCTTTTACTCCTTTCTATTGTTTTCATTTATTTTCTATTCTATTCTATTGCTTTTAACGGGACTGGACTGCTGCTTGTTTTTGAACGAGGCAAATCGTCGAATAGGTAGTATGCATAGTGCCTAAGGCAAATATTGCTCCTTTATTACTAATTTACAAAAAAATTAGTGGATGTATTTCAGCTTATCATCGTTTTGTCAAAGATCATTCAATATAGAGTTAGAACTCATAACAGTTCAGAGGTCTGCTTCATGGTCTGCAAAAGTATAAGAAGTATCATTCTCTGTTCAAGTAACTATATACTTAAGCCTTAGCTATCATGGCACTTTTAATGGTAAGGTTAAGTGCTCCTGGTAGACTAATCCCCTTTGTCTGCTGTGTTTTTCTACTTGTAACTGGCCCTTTGTTTATATTTGTCCATATTAGACCTGCATGTTGATAAATTGATAAGACACATGAAAGATCATCTCTTGATGTTTTGAAGTCTGATGAGGATTTAACTTGTAAACAATGTAAAGTTCTGGAAGCTTTATTTTGCAGGTTGCGTGTTGTTTGAGCATGGCTTCCATTTTTGGTTTTTGTTGCTTGTTCAGTTACTCGTGCTGGTTTCTTGATCTAATTCCTTAGGATTATAAAATGTGTTTTATTACAGATAACATGTCAAATTTCTTACCACTAATTCTTTTTTTTTTTTTTTTTTTTTCATGCTGGTATCGTCAGCCACGGAAAGCAGAAGAGAAAAAGTAGTGATTGCCATTGCAGATACTCTTTGCTTAGTCTTGGTCTTGGGTAACTCTGATAGTCAAGAAGATGACCCTTCAAAGGGGTTTAATTCTTGAGCATTAAGTGCTCTGGAGTGTACTATCTTCATTGCTTCAGAACATTGCCATTTCAGCATTAAAAAAAAAACCATACTTTTTCATCTAGAGGTTTCTTCTTTCCTGCGTAGTTTCCCGGATAATCAATTATCTTTTGTAGTTATTTCCTTCTCATAACAGTTGATAACATAGTGATCCATCACACCATCATACACTACCTGCATGGATAACTCGATAACAGTGAATATACTTACATATCCATGCATTTTCCTGTGTGTACAGTTGCATTTCTCTCGATATTTGATCTTTCACGTAGCAATATAATTGATGAATACGCTTGGTTTCTTAGATATAAAAATGGGCTTCGAAAGAACCATGAACTGGCTAGTCGTGTGATATTTTGCCTTTTTAAAGACCTTACGACTATCACCATTTCAGCTTTTTGTGTGTGTGTGTGTGGAAATTTTTGAACTAAACAGTTTATTGCAGTGTCATGTAGGCTTTGCTGCAATGTTGTGAAACGATCAGACAATTATTCTTACGGAGTACTTTTCTTTCCCAACCTAATTATATTTGTGTATTGTCATGATATGTTTTTGGCTATTACCATGATAATAAACTAATATGGCCCCTGAATTTTTATTTTACAATTCTCTATCGCACTATATCCTTTTGGATAACGAGTAACTCAATTATCAGCTAGCAACTTTATTTCTTAGTTGAGATGAAAAACATCTCTTTATTCTCAGAATATGGACATTTTCAGAACAAGTTTGGCCGGCTAGTCATTCATAAGTCAAAACTAAATCCAAATAGTAAACAAAAAGACTACCAAATAGCATGTTCATTAATTCCTATTTCAGTTCATTGAAAGTGAACAGAACAAAATTTTGGCGGATAGAAAGTAGACAAAATTCTATTTTTTAAATTGAGAAAAAAAAGATGGATTTTCATAAACTTTAATTTGATGGACAAAATTTAAATCCACAAAATTCTAGTTGGGAAAAATAAAACTAAAAGAAAATGAAAAAAAAAAAAAAAAGAAGTGAGAGTTGACATTGAAGCTTATTCCTCAAACAACAAAGACAACCAAGAAACGGTGGCAGAAGAAACCAAAATGTCTGAAGGTGCATTCTTAATTAAATTAATGTTAACCCTTGCTGGCCGGATATCTTGCTTTCTTGCACTTCTTCACGTCAACCATGTCCGCCCTCATGTTTGACTTGCCACTACCTATAATTAAATTATACAAAACAATAACACAAATTCTTCTCTCAAAAGACTGAATCCTCAACCCCAAGGGCCCCACACGCCACACCCCTGTCTGAGCATTTTGAATGATGTAAATTACGGTAATTTAATGGCTCAGTAGACCACGCCAAATGCTGGTGCGTACAATGGATTTGTCCACTTTGAACATAATCCCCACAATGCCGTTACCAAGATTCGTTCAAATTTTAGTCTCTTTTCGCAAATACTACCTATTGAACCAATGAGTTAAGCTTGTACCGGCAACAATAGCACAAAGTCTAAAATTACAGCTAATGCCGGGACCTGAAATTCTACAATCACAAAATTACATTTTAATCAAAATTTTAAATATATGATTATTTGTCGCAAACAATTGAAAATTAAGAATGTAATGTAATAAAATTAAATAAATATGATTAAAAATAATAATGCCGCAACAATATTTAATTAAAAGTAATGTTTGCCCCATTCTAAAATTACAGCACATGCCTGTGACCTGGAATTCTACAATCTCATAAATTCAAACATGACAGCTTCGTGGACTAAGTCAACTTTATCAAGTCTTTAAAGAAAGTGTCACCATTTGCCAATAATGGAGTACTGTATTTCAATTCCATTCTTCTAATTTTGGAGATGGGCTTTTCCAGGTCAATACTACTACTGCTAGTGCTGGCCTTCTTCAGTTGCTGCTTCAGCTTCTCATCTGCTAGTAATTGTAATTACTTTATTTCTACTGTAATGTGCAATGCACTATCATCTTCTTTATGTACTCTCAATTTTAATTTATTTCCCTTTTGACATTTTTCCCCTTTTGCATCTCTCCCAGATGCTGCCAGTCATGATCTTAACCATGGTGGAAACATCACCATAAACTGGGATGTCATCTCCTGGACACCCGATGGATACGTTGTAAGCTCATCTACATTTTTTTTGTTAAGCATATTCGACCGGTTTAATATTTTAGTTGAGACAGTAAACATATTTTCAATTTTCTGAAATAAATCTAAAGATTTGTTTTAATTTCCTGATTAGACATTAGACACCCCTAGGCCAAAGGGATCTTAGTCTTAGGCAGACATTAGTTGACCAGCCAATTAGTCAGCCGACTAGGCGGTCTAGACGCCTAAATCCGATAACTTGACGTTTGAGTCGGCTAAATTCAGCTCCCGACTAGGCGGTCTAGGCGCTTGAGTCAGCTAACTCGACGGAGTGATATATATATATATATATATATATATATATATATATATATATATATATATAGAGAGAGAGAGAGAGAGAGAGAGAGAGAGAGAGAGAGAGAAAATTTTAATTTTGGTCCACTGACTATTGGGGTTGTGTTAATTGCAACACTTGACTTTCAAAAATGTTTATTTAGTACCTTGACTATGCAATTTCTATCAATTTTGGTCACGCCGGCCAAATTGCCGGTCAAATCTCACCGGAAAATTTTAATAGGTAAATTTATGAGGGTATTTTAGTAATTTTACTCCTCTTTTATCTTCTCCGATGAGCTTCTCCATTTCCGGCGATGTTCTTCTCCGGCCAGTCAATGGCGATTTTGGGGAGTTCTTGTTATTTCTCGTACATCTCTAAGAAATCAAGAGTTCAAAGACATGCCTGAGTTTATGCATTCTTAAACACTCTTGGATATGAATGTACTGCTATATTCTGAGATTACTGCTATATTTCTCGTACATCGCCATTGTCTGTAAAGCTTGCTTCTTCTCTAGAAAACTGTGCAGACACAAATTCCTGAAGAAGCTACACGCTTGCATATTAACACGCGGGCTTGAACACGACTCGTCTTTGGGCTCCAAGCTTCTCAATAGCTACGCCAAGTTCGACCTTTTAGCTGAATCCAAATGGATATTTCACAGAATTAGAGACCACGATTTTTCTATTTGGAATCCGACTTTTGTTGGGTATTTTAGAGCGTTTCACTACGATGAAGTCCTCGGGTTGTATGCAGAATTGAAGAGAAGGAGCATCGGAATCTATGGCGCAGCCGTGACGTTTACAGTGAAGAGCTGCGGCATGTTGGGCGACTTCAAATTCCCCCCGCTGAAGAACATCGCCGGAAATGGCGAAGAACGTCGCCGGAAATGGAGAAGCTCATCGGAGAAGAAAAAAGAGGAGTAAAATTACTAAAATACCCTCATAAATTGACCTATTAAAATTTTTCGGTGAGATTTGGCCGGCAATTTGGCCGGCGTGACCAAAATTGATAGAAATTGCATAGTCAAGGTACTAAATAAACATTTTTGAAAGTCAAGTGTTGCAATTAACACAACCCCAATAGTTAGTGGACCAAAATTGAAATTTTCTCTCTCTCTCTCTCTCTCTCTATATATATATATATATATATATATATATATATATATATATATATATATATATATATATATATATATATATATATTTTAATGTACATTGTTGTGTTTTTCTTAATATTATTACTGGCCCGCTTAGGCACTAGGTACCCCGAGAGCCCGACTAACGCCTAGGCCCTTCTACATCGTTGAATTGTTTGCAATTGTGAAATTTGACAGGCGGTTGTGACCATATACAACTATCAGAAGTCGAGGAAAATCCGAGAACCAGGTTGGACATTGGGATGGAGATGGGCAAAGTACGAGGTGATATGGAGCATGATGGGAGCTCAAACAACAGAGCAAGGAGATTGTTCCAGATTCAAAGGAAACATCCCACATTCTTGTCGGAGGGCTCCGGAGGTTGTGGACTTGCTGCCCGGTACTCCCTACAATCAGCAAGTAGAAAACTGCTGCAAAGGAGGGGTGCTTAGCTCGTGGGGCAAGAAGGGATCTAGAGCCGCCGTGAGTAAATTCCAACTCTCTGTTGGGGAAGCTGGAACCACCAATAAAACAGTCAGGCTACCCAAGAATTTCACCTTTGAAGCGCCGGGGAGCGGCGGAGGATATGCTTGTGGAGCCGCCAAAATCGTGAGGCCTACAAGATTTGTGACCCCAGATGGGAGAAGAGTGACACAGGCTATGAGTAAGTTTCTAAGATAAATAATTTTTGACCAAACCCAAAAATAAATGTTTCACTAGCTTTATCACATTCTTAAGATGCATGTTGCTGGCCTTTCAATACCCTAGCCACCTGGTATTGGACTTGGCCCTTCATCGGTCTCCCCCAACAATTCTCTTCAATTCTTCCTAGCCACCGGGTGCTGGACTTGTCAGTCTTAACTGCACAGTTTTAGTGACCTGATTTTGATACCATTAGTTAGATTAAACGCTTACCATTACACCAAAAGCTGTAGGCACAACTTTATTTTTTCGGGTGTTGGACTTAGCCCGGCCTACAGGTCTCTGTGATTCTGTCCAACAATTCCTTAGCCACGTACTATGGGGTTGAATTTATCCCTTTACCGACCGCTGCCCAACAGTTTTATTAATTACTTGATTGTGGTTTCTGTGAATGGCAGTGACATGGAAGCTGAGTTGCTTGTACTTGAACAAATCTCCAAAAGTGGCATAATATGCCCCTCCTCATCCTCTAATTTCAAAACAAAATGCTCAGGAAGAAGCCTCGTAGTTTTGTGCACTTCAGTTCAGTTCTACTCTGTTCTATTGAGAATTATGAATTTGCTTAATCGCTTGTGGCCTGTTGGCTGAAATAAACTCACTACTGCAACGATTGTGGATTTGTAATAAATTATTGAGTATTAAAAAATGGGTTGAATATGTCTTTCTACTTTTAGCGTGTGTATATATATATATATATATATATATATATATATATATATATATATATATATATATATATATATAGGCGAGTTCAGGTGCGACAGTGTCTTACGGTACGACGATTTTTTACGGTGCGGCAACACCAATACTTCAACAAATATGCACCATCAACGTTAGGAAAATACACCACAAAAACAGAGTAAACAGAGCCCTGCATCACCAAACACACACCATTAGGTGTGTGTAAAAACACCATACACTGTTCAGAAATACACCATTAGGGGTGGTGAGTTATATGGTGTATTTTTTTGAGTCTGTTGTGTATTCTGTGATGTTTTATTGCATTTCATTATGGTGTGTTTTTCTAACACTGTTGGTGCATATTGTTAACACTGTTGGTGTATTCTGGAATTTCGCCGCACGGGAAAACCCCGCCACATTTGAACTTTATTCTATATAGAAGAGCGCTCGTATGTGGTCATGTCATTAGGTGTGGTCGTATCTGTGTCGTTGAATCAATTTAATCTAACAGCAATGGTAATTTTGAGGATTTTCGCGCGTTTTGGTAAGTGGGGGTGTTATGGTAATTACAGTGGCTATTTATAGCGGACGAGTTCTAGAATACACCAATAGTGTTGACAACATACACCAATAGTGTAATAAAACACACTACAGTGAAACACACCAATGGTGTATTCCCGTGTTATGGTAATTACAATGGCCATTTATAGCGGACGGGTTCCAGAATACCCAAACAGTGTTGACAACATGCACCAATAGTGTAATAAAACACACAACAATGTGATTTTCCCTATTCCGGTGTTTTATGACGAGTTTACCCTTGCAGTTCGCTGGATAGGAGAATATGCGTGAAAATACTGAAAAAATCTTGATTAGTATGATTCATTGGATCTATCTAATCTAATGGCCTATACTTGACCATATGACCACACCTAACAACATGGCCACATGCGATCACAGGACTTTTAAACCATTGGATGTTGGCATTGAATTTTACAAGAATTATGCTACCAAAATTGGATTTGACACAAGGTCTAGTTCTCTCGTTAGAGCAGGTGATGGGACTATAACTCTAAAGAAAATCGTTTGTAGTAGAGAATGATTTAAGAACTCAGGTGCTCAACATTGTCACTCCAAATCAAATGCAGATGCAGGAGAAGGTTATTCCAATCCGAAACGGAGGAGAGTTTCAAACAGAACTGGTTGCAAAGCTAGGATTATTTGTAAGTACATTGGAAGTGTCGAGTACGAGGTTAAGACATTTATTGAAAAACATAATCATAGCATGTATTCAGTCCTTGCAAGGCAGTTCCTAAAGGGAAACAGAAACATCTCTGTTGTACACCAGAAATTTATACTAAATTGTGCTAAAGCAAATATTAGGGCATCAAAATCACATGGTTTATATAGTCAAATTGTGGGGGATTACTCTGAAGTTGGGGCAACTGTTGTTGACTTTAAAAATGTCATAAGGGATCTCAGAGCCTTCATATTGGGTGCTGATGCACAAATACTCGTGCATAATCTTGTTAAAAAACAAGAGATGTGCCCCGCGTTTGCTTTTGAGTATGATGTTGATGAAGATGAGCAGACGAGTAGATTATTTTGGGCAGATCCAATCTCAAAAAAGAATTTTGCTGCATTTGGAGATGTTGTCTCTTTTGATGCTACATATTCAACCAACATGTGTTATTCTATTAACGTGCTTACGTATGTTTCATTAATTAACTCACATTAAACATTAAATGGTAAGTTTAGTCACCTTAAGATTTAGACATGGTCACTGAGTGCTTAATATAAATACACGCACATTGACCATTGATATCGCGCACTTTAAACATTAATATCACGCACCTTAGGGTGCATCGCTCTGAATTGAAACTGCAACGAAACTTAATGTGCTTCAAAATAATTCTTTAAGTGCGTGAGTATAATGCACTACCTCTTCAAAGAATAAATCTGTACTATGAGAGACATCGCTAATTTTGTGACAACCAATAAAATGAGCAATTTTACTAAAATGATCAACAACAACATAGATTGAGTCATGGTCCTTCTGCTTCTAGGTAACCTACTATAAAATCCATAAATAAATAAGTCCATGATTTCTTAGGAACAAGTAATGGTGTGTAATCCTTGTGGAAAAGATTGTGATTTAACTTGTTTGCAATTAACACGCTTGCTAACAAACTTTTCCACATCCCTTCTCAACTTGGACCAAAAGAAGTATTCATGTAGAACCCCATAAGTTTTAGTCACATCGAAGTGATCCATTAATCTATCACTATGAACTTCTTAGATGAATATTTCTCTTAAAGGACAATTTGACACACATAATCTATTTTCTTTGTACAAGTATCCATCAAGTAGATAATAATTGCCAATTGGAGTTATAGAACATGCCTTATAATCCATTAAGTAGAATTCATTGAATCAAGTCCTAATTAAAGATAAATCGAAACATGGTATTAAACTTGATAATCTTCTTGTAGAATTTATAAATAGTCATGAGTTTATAATTAATCTTACCCATCTTGTCAAATTCTTTCTATCTAATCTAATAAAAGGAAATACATACGTATCATGAGATAAAAATTCATAATAGACATATAACTAATTGCTAAAGAGTTAATACCATCTAGGATCCTCAGAGTATAGTGATTTTGCCATGTTTAGTCTTAAACTTTTTAATTACCACCCATGGTCCTTCGACTTTCAAACTGTTACCATCCGTAGTCCAAGTTAACCACCCATGGTCCTTCAACTTTCAAAATTTAACCAGCCGCGGCCCTCTTGGAAGGACCATGGGTGGTTAAAATTTGATAGTTGAAGGACCATGGGGGTTAACTTGGACCACATATGGTAATAAATTGAAAGTCAAAGGACTATGGATAGTAATTTGAAAGTTTAGGACTAAACGTGACAAAACCGCTAAACTCGGAGGACTCTAGATGGTATTAACTCAATTACTAAACCTAGGAATAACAATGACTTGGGTCATATTGTGTACACAACTCTCTCAAACCCTAAGGGGTCGTTTGGTTCACGGAATGTCAGATTACCTTAGGGAATGTTAGATTGCTAGGAATGTTAGATTACTGGAAATGTTAGATTTCTGTGTTTGGTTAAAATTGGGTTATGTAATATAATCATGTTTGGTTTATGGTTATCTTTTATACACACTATAATATCCTTAACATATTTTCATATATTTTAATAAATTTAAAAATTAAAATAAATAAATAAGATAACGGTATCATATATAATTACATGATTTTAAAATATTAACTAAAATCTTGAACTTGAGAAACAAAATTATTTTATATGCTAACATAACATAATAAAAATAAAATATATATAATTACAAAATATATATATATATATATATATATATATATATATATATATATATATATATATATATATATATATATATATATATATATATATATATATATATATATATATATATATATATATATATATATATTGGGAAGGGATCAGGTGCATTTGTTGCTTCCCGTTCGGTTGTGCGGTCGATTAATGTGCGTGAGGTTTATACTTAATGTGCGTGAGTGTTGTTCTTAATGTGCGTGAGCTTTGTGCTTAATGTGCGTGATGTTAATATGCGTGAGTTTTGTACTTAATGTGCCTGAGTGACTTAATTTTGTTTCTCAAGTTGTAGTATACTTAATTTTGTTTCTCAAGTTCAATATTTTAGTTAATATTTTAAAATCATGTAATTATATATGATACCGTTATCTTATTTATTTATTTTAATTTTTAAATTTATTAAAATATATGAAAATATGTTAATGATATTACATATTATAAAAGATAACCCTAAACCAAACATGATTATATTACATACCCCAATTTTAACCAAACACAGGAATCTAACATTCTCAGTAATCTAACATTTCCAGGAATCTAACATTCCCTAAGGTAATCTGACATTCTGTGAACCAAACGACCCCGAAAGGAATCACATTCCTTTCAAAATCCTATGTGGAGGGAATGTGACATTCCTTGGGAATGTTAGATTCCCTAAGATAATATGAACCAAACACCGGAATGTGAGCTTTGGAATGTCACATTCCCTTGGTTATGTTATATAACCTGAACCAAACGCCCCTTAATATGACAAGTTCGGCATGACAAAATAACATTGCACACAGGTTCAAATAACAACAAAGATTTCATATTCGATAATGCGTGTGCGCCCGCGCACACACATATATATAGTTTGAAATATAGTAAACGTGTTTTGGAACGAGTATATATACTGTTCATTTGCCAAGCACCTTGTGCTCAGGTGGCATGTAGTGACATTTCCCATGTGGGGGTCATGAGATCGAGCCTCAGTGGAGGCGTTGTTGACTCTGTGCAGGGACGGAACCAGGAATTTTGTTGAGAGGGGGCAAAGAAGCCGGATCCATTAATTTTTTCGAGTAAAGGTGAAACATTAAAACAAAAGAGATAATTTTTTTAAAAAAATAAATTACCCCAAAAAAATATAGGTATGAATATTATTGGATATGAACGAATAATAAAACACATAGAAATTTTATTAAAAATATTCATAAGAAAATATGAAACATAATTAATTTGATAAAAAAATTTGAATAGAAAACACATTATAAATTACACATCTCATTTTTAATATAAAGGAATGTTATATATATATATATATATATATATATATATATATATATATATATATATATATATGTGTGTGTGTGTGTGTGTGTGTGTGTGTGTGTGTGTGTGTGTGTGTGTGTGTGTGTGTGTATTTTATTAAATTAAATTAAATATTAAAAAAGCTATTAACAATATGATTGTGTTAAAGTTAAGAGAAATTGTAAATTTGTGATAATGACAACAAAGGATTCAAACTCTAAACCTTCACTACAATAACCAAACATATGTTCTATCAACTAATCTATCTCACTTTTTGTTAACTCTTATCTATTTCTTTATACTAAT